ACGACTAGTACATACGTATTACCATTTCGAGTTTTCACGAAGGGTCCTAAGTGGTCGGCGTGTAGAGTATGCATAGGCACTGAAACTTTCTCGATAGGATATAGTTCCCCTTGTTTCTTACCATATTCGGACTTGCCATATGCGCACTGTAGGCACGACTTAATGTATTTTCTTATAAATCGAGTCATCCCGATGAACCAAAACTGAGCTTTTATGGTTTTTTCGCATCTCTCAAAGCCAGGGTGCCCTATTTGGTCATGATATTTCTGCAGTAGGCCATATTTTGCCAGTTTTGGTATAACAAAATGTTCTCCATGTAACGTTTTTCTGAACAGGGCGTTATCTTTAATAACATAATTATTATTTACGTCTGGGTTAGTGGTCTGTTCTCGTAACTGAGTAATTATATGCTGAATATTGTCGTTCTGCAATTGTAGCGTTACTAACCAATCTGACTCGTCAATTTGGAAAATATGTTCCGTCAGGGGGTTCCTACTCAAGGCATCCACGTGCTTCATTCGTTCTCCCGGTCTGTATACTATTTCCAAGTCATAATCCTGGATGGTGAGCCACCAGCGAGCTATTCGAGGAATGAGATCCTTTTTAACCAATGTAGTGCGTAAAGCGGCACAATCTGTAATTACTTTCACAGGTATCCCTACTAAATAAATTCGAAACCGTTTCAGCGACTCTACTACTGCGAGGGTCTCAAGTTCATAACTGTGATAGAATTGTTCTTCTTTAGATGTTACTCTACTGAAATATGCTATTGGTTTTATTGAGCCATCGGGCTGCTGCTGCATGAGTATGCCACCTAATCCTAACTTGCTCGCGTCAGTGTGTAGTTCGGTAACTGCTTTGCTGTCATAAATGCCAAGAACTGGCCTCTCAATTAATCGAAGTTTCAGACACTGAAACGCATTTTCCTGTTCTGGACCCCAATGCCAATCCATGTTCTTCTTCGTCAGTTTTGTTAAGGGAAGGGCAATCTCAGCAAATCCACGAATGAATTTTCTAAAGTAGGAGGTAAGTCCAATAAACTGTCTGATCTCATGAACGTTTTTGGGTCGTCGATATTCAGAGACACATTTGATTTTGGCTTGACCAGGTCGGATTGTTCCTGCAGATATCTCATGACCCAAGTAATTGACACTTGCTTTCAGGAAAGAACATTTTTTTAGATTTAATTTTAGACCAGCTTTTTGCAAAAGGCCTAGAACACCATCCAATAATTGTATACCGGCTTCTACAGTTACAGTAGGTAGCATTATGTCGTCAAGATATATGGCAACCTCGTTTCTAACGTCTTTTAAGGCAATGCTTATTAGTCGAGAAAACACAGCAGGAGCATTGGCCAAACCGAAAGGTACCTTTAGGAATTCGTAATGTCCGGAGGGCGTAACAAAGGCAGTTTTATGTGTCGAATCATCGGCAAGCCTCACTTGATAATATCCTTGAGCCAAGTCAAGCGTTGTGAAGTAAAATTTACCCGCCAATTTTGAGATTTGATCGTCAATATGTGGTAAGGGAAACCGATCTTTTATAGTCATCATCATCATCATTACAGCCCTTCACAAGTCCACTGCTGAACATAGGCCTCCCCCAAAGAATGCCACAAAGCACGGTCCTGGGCCACCTGCATCCATCGACTTCCTGCACATCTTACCAGGTCGTCACTCCATCTAGTGGGGGGACGCCCTACACTTCGCCTGCCGGTACGAGGCTGCCACTCGAGAACCTTTCTTCCCCATCGGTTGTCGGTTCTTCGAGCTATATGGCCGGCCCATTGCCACTTCAGCTTACTAATCCGTTGGGCTATGTCGGTCACTCTGGTTCTACTGCGGATATCCTCATTTCTGAGTTTATCACGCAGAGAAACTCCGAGCATAGCCCTCTCCATAGCTCGCTGAGCGACCTTGAGCTTCCTCATCCGGCCAGCAGTGAAGGACCACGTCTCAGTTCCGTATGTCATCACTGGCAACACGCACTGGGTGTACAGTCTCGTTTTCAAGTTTTGAGGTATACCTGACGAGAAGATGTGCCGTAATTTCCCGAACGCTGCCCAACCGAGTTGAATCCGTCGATTGACCTCTCGGTCGAAGTTGGACTTACCTAGTCGGACTATTTGTCCCAGGTAAACATACTCGTCAACAACTTCGAGCTTAGTGTTCCCAACAACTACCGGCATAGGTGTGACATGGACATTAAACATGATCTTTGTTTTGTCCATGTTCATCTTAAGACCTATCCGTTGGGAAACACTATTGAGGTCATTGAGCATAGTGCTTAGGTCCTCCAGCGATTCTGCCATAAGGACTATATCGTCGGCAAATCGAAGGTGAGTGATGTACTCGCCATTGATGTAGATACCGTATCCTTTCCAGTCCAGAAGCTTGAAAACGTCTTCCAACGCAGCGGTGAAGAGTTTCGGGGATATGACGTCACCCTGTCTTACACCTCTCTGCAATTGGATAGGTTTCGTACTCTGGTTCTGTACTCGGATAGCCATCGTAGCCCTACTGTACAAGCACTTCAACACTTCGATATACCGACAGTCAACTTGGCATCGCTGAAGGGACTGCAGCACCGCCCAAATTTCGACGGAATCAAAGGCTTTCTCATAGTCCACATACGCCAGACATAGTGGCAAATTGTACTCCTCGGACTTCTGTACAATTTGCCGAAGGGTATGTATGTGGTCTATGGTGCTAAAGCCTTTACGGAAACCGGCTTGTTCGGGAGGCTGGAAGTCGTCAAGTCTGCGCGCGAGACGATTCGTAATGACTCTCGAAAACAGCACGTAGACGCGGCTCAGAAGGGAAATCGGTCTGTAGTTCTTCAAGAGAGCGTTGTCGCCTTTCTTGAAGAACAAGACCACCGCACTTCTGCTCCACGCCTCCGGTGTAATGCCACCATGGAGGACGGAATTAAAGAGCTTCTGAAGGACTTCAAGTACCGGTTTTCCACCCGCTTTCAGAAGCTCCGCTGTAATTCCATCCTGGCCTGGGGCCTTGCCGTTTTTAAGGTGCTGGAGAGCCATTCTAATCTCGCTCAGACTGACGTCCGGGATATCATCGGAATAATGTCGGATAAGACTCGCTCTTGGATCGTTACTCACACTTGCGTGTGGCTCCAACGATGACGTGTACAGCTGCCCATAGAACCTCTCAATCTCACTCAAAATCTCAGGTGCCCCGGAAACGATGCTGCCACATTCGGTCTTCAGCTTTGACAGTTGGCTCTTTCTGGCAGACAGATCTCTGGCAAAGACTTTGGAGCCTTGGTTCCGCTCGATCGCTTCTTCAATACGAGCTGTATTAAAGTTGCGTAAGTCCCGCCGCATGCATTTGGAGATCTGTCTGTTCAGTTGCCTGTATGCTGTCAAATCTGTTGAAGAATGTAGCTTCATCTCCCGTCTAACAGCCATGAGATTAAGAGTGTGATCGGAGAGTTTTTGTGTTCTTCTGCGGCGGGTCTTGCAGAACTTAGCTCCGACCGCATGGACAGTTTCCACGAGCTTGTCATTCAAATCGTCCACTTCATTGCAGTCTTCTAGGCACTGAAAACGGTTTTGCAACTCGAGCTGAAAGGTTTCGGGACTTTGGATTAGAGCACGAGGGGGACGGAGCGTTGACTTCATTAGACGAGACCTCTCCAACTTAACGTTTAGGTTCAGTGTGCCTCTAACCATTCGGTGATCGCTGCCGGTTTTCACCCTCGCGATCACTGAGACATCACTGAACAGTTGTCGTCTGGTCGTCATAATGAAGTCAATCTCATTTTTTGTCGAACCGTCGGGGCTCGACCAGGTCCACTTCCTGTGGGGCCGCTTCTGGAAGAAAGAGTTCATCATAAAGAGTCCCTCTTTCTCCATGAAGTCGGCCAACTGCTGGCCCCTTGGGTTCCGTTGCCCTATTCCAAATTTCCCCACTTTCAGCTCACCGTTCTCTCTTGTGCCTAGTTTTGCATTGAAGTCTCCCATTAACACCGTATATTGGGTTTTGGAGGAATGCATGGCTCTAGAGATATCCTCATACATTTCCTCCACCTCCTGATCGGGGTGTGCCGAGGTTGGTGCGTAAACCTGTATGACCTTCAGCGAATACCGTTTGGTGATTCTGAGTATAAGGTACGCAACCCTCGTCGACACACTCTCAATCTTTACAACGTTGTTAACGAGAGACTTGTGGACGATAAATCCGACACCTCCTTGGGACAGATGGTCGCCCTCCCGGTAATAGAGCAAGTTGCCGGATTCGAGGATTACCGTGTCCTCCCCCTCTCTTCGGACTTCGGATAATCCTATAATATGCCAGCGTAACTTGTCTATCTCTTCTTCCAGCTCCACAATCTTCTCGTCAGTCCTCAGGGTGCGTGCGTTGTATGTTGCCAGGTCGAGTCGTTGTAGGTGGCAACCGAACCTCCACCGGAGATTCTTAGCACCCCTTATCTTTTATAGTGTGAGAGTTTAAAGCCCTATAATCGACGCAAAGCCTATAGTCACCGCCTTTCTTTTTCACCAATATAACTGGACTTGCATATTCGGATGTTGATTCGCGTATTATGCCGGCTTCAATCAAATCTTGCACCTTACTATTAACGATTTCGTTTTCTTTGTGTGATAGTCTATATGGCTTAAAGTAAACTGGTTTTTCAGTAGTTGTCCGTATATGCATTTCCACGAGATCTGTGCACCCCAAATCTCTCGTATCCCTAGCAAAAATATAACGGTATTTATTTAATAGTTTTAGGAGTTCATCCTGGTCCCTCTTTTCTAGATCTCCTACGTCAATTTCACCCTTATTTGGAAGGTTACCGTAACCATCAGGAAGACAAGAAAAATCAGTATTGAGTACGTCCTGCACATTAGTAGGGGGTAGGGTCACTAGTTCAGCCCGCGCTATTAATTTACGAGCAGGGAAGGAAACTGGTATATTACTCATATTTATAAATTTCAAACACCCTTCGATGCAGATAATTCCTCCAGGTATTGCATAACATCATTTTCCTAATTGCATATAGACAGAATTCGTCAGGAAGTACAAATTGTCGTTGGGTTCAATATTCACCGTCACGTCAATTAGACTGACACTTTGTGCTGGTAAAGTGACATCACATTTTAGGTACACATTGAATTTACAATTGTAGTCTAGATTTTCCAATTTAACGCACTTTATGCAATCATCAACTGCTAAAGTTTCTACAAATTTTGCAGAGCTAGAAGTAGTTACCAGACTTACCCCCGATTGATTAATCATAGGTTGCCCAATAATTAAATCTATATCGGATAGCTCGTAATTAGTTATTTCAACGTACCCACTAAGACATATTTTGTCTATATGCACAGTTATTTGCGACCTCCCCAACGATTGTATGCAAGTTCCTCCAAATCCTCGCATTACCGTGGTCGATGCCGCTATTGGTAATTTCAACAATGTCGCTTTATTTTGTGTTAAAATATTTAATTTACTACCCGTATCTATGTAGACAACCAGTTTTTCTGTGCCGATGTAGGCGTGACGCTTGTATACACTGCATAACACATCAGTAGTGGTAAACAAGATGTGACTCACCAGGGATGACGAACGTTGCTGCGTTGAACCAGGAGTCGCCACAGCCCAACAGGTAGCTGAAGTGTGACCATTGCGTTGACAGTTTTCACAGCGTTGTTTTGAACGGCAGTCCTGAGCTACATGTCCTAACCGCCGGCAGATATAGCACTGTCTCACCCCAGTCTGTTGGTCAGTTGCAGAGCTTCCATCGGTTGTACCCCTTTTCCATAATGACTTCCGCATTGGTGTAGCAGCTTCTATTCTCTTATAATTTTCAAATGATGATAAATACCCGTAGTATAATAACTGTGGCGTCCGACATTTGTACGCTTTTGCGTTTGCTTGCAGCTCCACGGGAAGACCTCGGATGATACAAGAGATTGCATTTTCTCCTACGATATTGCATTTTTTAATAAGTGATAATTTGTCGTGGAAATAATTAGTCATGGTTTCCGAATCTTTTTTTGTTCTTGCCAACATCTCTTCGAGCCTGCTGACGAAATCAGTGGACCGTGGAAAGGCCATTTCCAGGGCACGTTTCCATCCATCCCAGTCGAGGTTATAATCATCTAAGTCATCATACCAACGTCGAGCTGAACCACGCAGACGAAGTTGCATTAAAAATTGTTTCTCGGTTGCATCCCATCCATATATTTCACCAAGCTGATCGATCTTGTGCAACCAGCTGCTGACGTTACTGGTATTATCTTCAGGTCGAAATTTGGGGATGACTTCAGCGTCGACATGACTCACTCGGCGTTTTTTTTCCATAGCGGGCGCGTGGTCTTCTGAAGAAAAAAAAAATTGACTTTCTTCGTTTTCTTCATTCTTTCGGGAACGTTTTCGGCAATATTTCCGTTTATTTTCACTAAGGCCATGTATGTAGGGGCCCGACATCTTATATACCAGAACAATTTTACTTTTGTTTTTCACGAATTATATCCCACTTCTGAAATGTGACAGTGTGGTTGTAGATGTTCAAATAAAACTTTGATAGTGTTATTCTCTAATATATAATTGGCAGAGTTTCTGCTAAAGCAAATACGTAAGTTACAATGATCTCAGTCGGAGTTCTGCTTTTGTTTTTATACCCGCATTATGCGGCTTACAATTATTCATAAACGGAAATAGTTTAAAATCACCTACATTGTTTATTACATCCGGAATCTTATTTATAATGTAATTACAAACTGAAATATTAATCAAATAATTATGCATTTATTTAATCAAGTAATGTTTAATAATAAGAAGTTTAATTATGGCTGAGGGCGGGAAACATTTGCTAACATTGGAGACCACACTCCGAATACCTACTTGAAGCTTAACCTATATATTACTATCTCGCTCTCTGTGGAAAGTACCCTCCCTTTCTAAGTAGGTAACCTTTATTTTATTTTTCCCAGGATATCGCTATAAGTAGTTGAGTTACATTGTTTTATTTATAAATATCTATATCTCTGTTTACTACTAAGACCTAGCCTATATAGATTATATATTTTTGTACAATTTTTTTTTGGGAATTGACTAGTTTTATGAAGAAAGGTTTTCATTTCCATGGGCAGAACCGGTATTAAAATATGACCACGCATTTCCGTCACAACCCATATAATGCCGAGCCTATTTAGAAAATGTGGAAAATAAATATATCAGAGAATATTTTATAACTACCATTTCGATAATGTATTTTCTGGTTATTGTATACAATTCCTAAACGGTACCAACGAAATATAAAATTAAAATTTATTATAACCCCGGGTGATCAATGAATTGGGCAAAATATACCTGATTTATTGTTCAGACAGACTAAATCTATTTTTGGACAATTATTTAAAAAAAGTATCACTCTAAGGAGCTCCTGCCTTAGCATTCTGACCTAACCCATCCGAGCCAGGCTGCTCTGAGCTGAAATGTGTATAATACTATATTCCACATATCCAGTTCATTTTAAGAATTATCTACAATTCCTAGGAATTCTATATAATAACGGATTTCATAGATTTCTAGTAACATATGTACTATAATAGGAACGATAATATATTATTATTTTGAGTTGTTATCAGGAAGATGCCGCTGCCCATCCCCTGTTTCATTTTCCCTCTGACACCTTTTACAACACCCTCGGAACGATATGAGGTAGTGAATATTCTCACACCGCCATTATATGGTTTGTTAAAAATCTTAAAAAAATAAATAAAAACACTTTCCACATTAAAATTATTTATTGAAATTTTTCACACCATGTGGATTACTCTGTGGCTTTTTAAGTCCTTACAGATATGACAAAGCGCCCTTGAATAATATTTTCAATTTCTGACTGACCCATATACTTTTTAATAGTGTCCATTAAAGACCTATCCTGAAGTTTTTAGCATGGCGCGCTACTTTTTACTTAAGAATCTTAGTTTTCGTCTCAAGTATTTCTTCTTTAGTACACTTTATTTTCACTTGCACGCCCCTATCAATCTTCGCGGGATCGTCGTATTCACTGCTGACCTAAGAAAACAAGAAAACTTTATGAAATCAGTATTTTTAGCATCGTACATCGTATTGCTCCGCTCATAAGGGTCGTAAAGTGATGTTAGATAGACTTCCTGAAGAATAGGTTTTAAAAATGCAAAAAATTATTTTCAAATCAGACTGGTATAGTTCCAGAGATTAAAGAACTCTAACAAAAAAAAGAAACAAATAACTCTTGTACATCATAATGTCAGTACAAATTTACATCACTTAATAGGTAACACATAATACTCCGGAGCGCGCCTTCATGAGCACGCATAAATGAAGCATCAAACAAGAAGCTTTATGCTTAGTGTCGTAGTGACGGTTACCACACTGCGATTGGCACTAAAGAGTTTAAATATGTATGTGTTTTAAGCTATATAATACATTATGTAATGTAATATTAAAGTCATAATAAATACAAATAAAAGGTATGTATTTAGTAATAAAGGAAAAGGAAACTTACAGGTAATTTGTTAAGATTGCATAAATTTTCAAGAATTATTCGACATTGTTTTTTACTAGTTTGGTCTTCAATATTACAGCCAGTACATTTCACTTCTGTTTCCTTAAGTGCAGAACTACTTTCATAAATGCCAGAACTAGTACTTGGTACAGCCAGAGCAGCTATTTGCACAATAGACTCTTCATGTAATGCACTTGTTGTCTGCAAATAATAACATATTTTACAAAATGTTGCTTTATATCATACATATAAACTACTACATTTCTAAGTACATAATTATTATAAACGTTATTAAAGTATCAGAATAATGAGAAACAAAAACTAAATAAAAATAAATTGTCTACCAAAAGAATATATTATGTTTCTAATTTTTAATTTAATATTATGAAATCTACGAAATCCGTCATTATATAGAATATATAGGAAGTGTACATAATTCCTAAATTTCATGCATTTCCGGTAACATAATAAGAAACATGTACATATAATTAGTTAAGTTCACACGGAAAGTCTCAGATACATCGTCAATATGGTCACACTACTTCAATGCGATTTCTTTTAAACAAAAACAATAAAATTGTTCAAACTTAATTAAATTCAATGTAAAACTATTTGATTTTGACAAAATTATTTACTAATATGTTTAAAACACTGATAAAACGTTTCAGCAAAAAATTAAGTGAAAATACAAAAAGTATGTTTACAAGTATTCAATGTCAGAAGTCACTATTTAAACACTTACGTGTGAAATCTTATATCACCTCCTGGACACCAACTACTGCCGCAACCACGTACTACACAAGTTTGCACCGTTTCTTGAATTATAACAATATCTCAAACGACGCTGTTAACTGCTAAGTAAACAACCGCCATATTTGTCTAATTTATGTTGACATATAGGGCAAATGTTGCCACATTACCAAACCTTTAGGAAATGGGATTGTAATTCACTGATTCGTGAACCCAATAATGCATAGGGGACCTTCAATTTTGGAATTTTTAATGTAACTAATCGTAGATCAACTATTTATTAATTGGTACATTATTTTACAAAGCTTAACTTCTGATTTAGTTAGTGTGGAAATTATTTCTAAGAATTTACCGGGAGATACAAATAAAAACATAGCAATATTGTGTTCCACACTAAAAAGAGAAGTCAGACCACAGAGAGTGAGATAAAGATACGTAGGTATTTGACTCAAGCTGTTGTTCCAAGTGTGGCCTCCATCTTTATCTATAACTTCATGGGTAGACCAGGCCATAAGGCCACAGACTAACTAGTAGATTCTAGACCAGGGATTGACATTCGGTACTAGGCTTGGGCAAAATATATATATATCGTCGATATTTTGAATCGCGATATTTCGATATTTATTTTAGAATTAAGAATTCGTATCAATTTCGTACAAATTTTTAAAATATTGTATTAATGACAAAACATGTAACAACAGGCCGGCTACGCACCTGCGTTTCCCTCCCTGTTGTTGCAGCTGTTCGTGGGCGGCGGTAGTCACTTACCATCAGGTGAGCCGCATGCTCGTTTGCCCCCTCTCCTATAAAAAAACAAAAGGAAGTATAAAAGTATTAATTTGTGGTTCGTTCTTTTTTTCGTCGTCCAACCAGCAGTAATATAAAATTTTGTACCTTTTGTTTACATCATGCAAATTATGACGATACATCGATATTTATCACGCGATATATATCGATACTTTTTAAACACATCGATTCGATATATATCGATATATTTGTTTCACTTGCCCATCACTATTCGGTACTTCGGTAGAATCTACTAGTAAATTAATATAGCACATAGCGTCATATTATAGCGCGCTATCTTTCCATAGCGCACAACGCGTGCTATACAAGTAGGCGCTGTGGCGCTATGAAATATAAATATCGCGCGATAGCGCTCGGCGTCGGCCAGCGCGGAAACTATTTCTAGCAGTGGCGCTAGCACCCGGCTGCCTGTTAGCCGCGCGCACAGAGTACATTATATATAGGGGGGGTCTCCCGTGCACGCTGTTGTGGGCGGACGTGTTATACAAATTTTATCTAACAGCACGCTACTCATCGCGCGTGCCGCGCGTGCCGGATGGTCTAGCAGAGAGTTTTGCGCCAATATGTTTAATGCGATTGAGACTAGCTTTTCGTAATGCTTTTTTGTAGGACTTGGCGGTCTGGTCGAAAGTTCTCTTCTTGGAGCTAATATCCAGAGTTTTGCGGTTTCGAGCGTCAACCCAGGATAGGTAAGCTATATGCTTGCGCTTTTCAGCTTGGGCGCATTCAGAGTTAATCCATGGGCGAGCTTTGCTACCGGTGGGAGCGTCAGAGAAGGAGATAAAGTACTCCATAGCTTGACGCAACACATCCGTTCTCGCAGTTGGGCAGTTGGGCAGCAGCATCTTACTGACAACAACTCCAAATAATAATAAAAACCGAACAAGTGTAAGTTCCAAATAAACTTAAATAAGAATGTAGATAGTTCATCCGACTTAATATTTTTTCAAATCAGATTCACAAATGCCATAAATTGACAAAGATTTATCTTTTTTTTTTATTGCGTAATATTACCTGTAGATAATATTTAGTATACTGGGTGGCGAATAGTTTATCACGTTAAATAGCACAGCAGTTAATACAAGTTGATGTATGTCTGTTAAAATAATAAAATAAACAATAATAAAAGAAAATAAAAAATACATTTTTCAAACAAAACAAATAGCGTAAAAAATTGACAAGAAATAAATCGGCCTTGATAATATATAGGTTACTGACCTGAAGTGACTTACAAAACGTCGCACGCGTCAGAAAAATAATAATATCAACACCCGGTCCCATTTCTTGTCACTTCGCGCATAGAGAATTATGCCTTAACTTCATTATTTTAAGTAAATTTTTCGCTTGAATTTGTTTTCACACACCCGCAGCGCGCGGTCCGTTTGTTTTTAATTTCGCGCATAAAATTATGCCTTAAATTGTTAGTCGTAAGTACAGTTTTAGTTCGAGTTTTTCTTTATTTGAGTAGTTCGGATTGACAACGTTTAAACTACCTATATTCGCCTTCAAATGGCATGGGTCTTTTACCTTCTAGAATTCATCATACGTTTTATTTAATATTAAAACGAAAAAAATGCTACCGCGACTAATGTATTAATTGTTATATATTTTTTTAGTTGTGTATGTTAAAAGAAATTTATGTAGCATACGTCTTTTCATTTTATGTGATAACTTTTTCGTCACTCGGTATATACAATAGGGTAATATATAACAGTATAAGCAGTTATATAATTATTTTTGTGAAAATAAGTTCTTCATTTTCAGGGAAATTCATAAAATATAAATCATGCTCTAACGAAAAAGTAAACTTAACATTGTAGTACAAAAAACGTTCACCCAAATGGCAACGTTTCACAGCATAGAAGGTGCGAGACAGGTAGTGATCGTCAAGGTGCTGCCAAGTGATGATTAAAGCAAATACTTCATTATAATGGGAATTCTTTTCAAACGTAGTAGAGTCATGCTGCAGCTATATTATGGTTGTAGTACAAATGGGTCGGCTCGACTGTGGAAGGGCCACCCCCACACGGAATATCAGCATAAAATAGTAGCTTAACGCTACTGTGTTTCGTAGGGTGAGTGTACAGAACTGGAGACCTTTTCTTACTGGAAACGAGGCATTCCATCTTAGTCCTCATCAGTGACAACACATCTGCATTTTGACATTGTAATCGAAGATAGATGTAGATGTCTATGGGCCACAGCAACCAGTTACCATCAGGTAGGCTGTGTGCCCATTTGTTACCCTTATCCTATTTAAAAAATGGGGTGACCCATCAAGCAGTGAACTTTTATTTAAAAGAAGTATAATACGTTTGATTGTGTAGTCACAGAGCAAGAATATCCACTGCCCTATATACTTACCCACAGGATGGGTGTCGTAAGGGGTGCCAGAGGAAAACAGAAAACGGAGTTGGGCAGCAGCATCTACCTGATAATAACTCAGATTAATATAAACTGCGGTTGCCAACCAAAGTTGTCAAAATCCCTCCTATGGAGCAATCTATGAGGAGGGCCTACGTTCAGCAGTGGACTTTTATAGGTTTTAATAGATGGAATGGATAATACCATAGACACTCCTGCAAGCAACTGCTCCAGAACTGCATTCGACTCAATAGCCTGTTGTTGTAAACTTCTACAACGATTGAATCTTGCATGACAAGTGAAACAGACAATTATGGGCCCCTCATTCTCATCCATCTGAAAAAAGTTCATAATAAATATGGAAAACTAGTTAAATATATAAGATTGTAATAAAATCTATTGGCTACCACAATTCTCTTCATCAACATCAATTTTTTATAAAATTGAAGTGACACACAAACTTACAATCCACCTGATGGCAAGTAGCAACTGCAGCTCATGAAAACCTACTTTCAATACACTAGGAGTAATTTACAACAATAGTTGAATATCAGATTTGAACTTACTACTTTCTTAAGTTTGCAGTTCGCACCCTTAACTATAAGACCACTGCCACTTAGTTTCAAATGGATGTTAATAACAATATACATCCCCTAGCAGTTTTAACCTTTTTAATTTAATATCAATAGCAGTTTGAAGTAAGTTCCAGGTGGGTTTGGATATTTAACAATTAGATTATTTTATCTCATAAGGCTATGGACAGCAGGATTTTCCTCGTAACAGGTCAGAATAATAAAAAAACTGCAGTTGCAACAAAGGCAAATAATAATAATAATACCAGAATTGATACTAAAAATATTTAAAAGATATTTTCAACCTGGAGAAGCTTCAACACAGATATTCAAAAGATCCTAGATCATTGAGAACATACTACATGAGGAAAGTCTCAAAACACTTAAACATACAACTCAGAAAGATCACAGAGAATGAGGAGACTTGATTGAAACATATAAAACAATATATGGACATTATGATCTAGAAAATTTCGATAATCATTATTGTAGTATTCAAACAACACGCAACTTAGAGGCATCACTTCAAAATGACTAAAGCAGTGTCGTGTAGAGTTGGGATTCGAAATAGCAACCCAAGAGCAATTGAGAAAAAAATTTAATAATAAAAAAATACATATACATAATTCTCGTGTAGTACTCGCTGTGTGACAGGCAGGCAGCGAATTGTCGCTGCGAGTAATATTTGCAACGAACATTCGCCGTGTGTGACTGAATCAAAATGCAGATGTGCTGTCACCCCTGAGAACCAAGATGGAACACCCCGCCTCAGTAATAAGGGTTTCCGGTTCTCTAAACTCACCATACAAATCAGAGCAGCATTAAGGCAAGTTATAATGTATTTTTCCGGCGATAACAATATATTACCTTAGATTATTTACTCTCTAGATAACGCGTCACGCAATGAGCGATGCAACAAAAATAGGCCAGTTTTTACAGGCGTGTGTGCGTGAGGCACGTACACACGCTTAGCGGTTGCTATGGTGACAAAATAAATAACTATGACTTACACCAGCGTCATTTGTATCTGGGAGATACCAGCTAATTAATCTATCCCGATAAAATGGGGAAAAATTGTCATGTTAATAAAATCATAACTTATAATATTTGAATATGGTGCTTTCAATTGTGTTTAGTTATCTGTTGAGTTAGAATCTTAAATTCTTTACAATAAAAATATAATCAAATAAAAATTAACTACGCATTTACAAAATATGTTTTATTATTTTATGTATGGTATAAAAATACTAGAGGTTGACCGGCGGCTTCACCTGCGACATATTTAAATAATTTATCCCGCAGGTATCCTTTATCGTAAAATTTTATCTCATAGCGTTTCTACAGTTTAATCCTTTTAAGAAGAATTATTACGTCCAGCATTGTTGTGCCAGCAAGAGTTGATATACGAGTGCCCCATTGAAGCTTTGCATCTAAGGTCACCCCCAGGAACACAGTAAAAATGAACCTTATAGGTAATGCCCTCGGAAATGAACTGTACTTCAAGTTGAAAGTTCGCCGCTCTTACCACTGAGTTACCATCGCTAGTGTATCTTACATACACTAGCGATGGTAACTATATTAAAATTTAAATATATGAGCCTGTACGTAATAAAACATAGTTTTTTCGGTACCGCTTCCTTTTTCAATCTTCGACAGCCTTGACTATTTGCAAAATAAAAGTCATTTTCAAGGAAATGTTCAAAGCATATATCACTGTGGTTTTGGATGGTTTTCAGAACTCTTTTCCACGGCTTTTTCTTATTATGTCCACCCATCGACTTCTAATTATAGGATCAATAGGTATCCTAAAACCATGTATCCAAATGGTCACATTCAATTTTGACAATTAACATTAAAAATAAGACAACTATACGGGGAAATTCGCAATCCAAGATTGGCAACACCAAAAAATGACGCGTTGATTTTGTAAATAAAATTATCAATTTATTAGTTTTGTTTTCGTAAATTACTATTAGTTTTTAGTTACCTACCGATGGTAGGAGATTTTTTTAGTTGTTTGTAAACGTCCTTTGTAATTTCTGCAGGTTTTGATCGCGCAATTTGTCATTTTCACCAAAATAATTTACCTCAAAAAATGAGCCGTGCGTGCGTATCTCTTGGCGTTACAATTGACAGTGAGGAGCGGGGAGCGCTTTAGAGGCTAACAGTTAGCTGATATTTTTTTCGACGCTTTTGAGCCGCCGTTACTCTATCTAGAGAGTAACTAAGCATATTACCACAACTTCAATTTGCAATAAGTATTTAAAAAAATATTAACAAACTTACAAAAGTGTCCGTCAATGTTTTGTATAAATTTTTAAGACCAGTCTCCTTTAGTACAAACATGCGTACATTAACGCATAAACAAATTCTACAAACTTCACTAAAGGCCATTGCTTTAATATTACTGGATTCTCTTTTTCATCAATAAACCGGGGTTAAAAATTTTACAGTGCCACCAACTTATCTGTTAGGTGGACAAAATTGGAACTAATGCCGCCATTTTGTAAATGACATTTCGCTGTCAGTTATTATTTATTTTGAGCTATCAGGTGAATGTTTTTAAAAAGTGCAATTAAAATGCCTAAAGCTCTTAAAAGTGATGCGCGACAGATTATCCTAAAAGTTTTATCTTTTATGAAAGAAGAGAAACGTGTACAAGCCCCAACTATACCATTTGAAAAGCTGTATGAGCGCGTTGCTGCCGTGACTGGTTAGTATTGCCAGATATGGAAAATTAAAATCACCAAATAATGTACTTGTAAAACATAGTAAAAAAATTATCTCAATTTACTGTAATTCGTCTAAAGTACCTAGCTTTGTAGTTTGTGGTCTGTGAAGTAGCTTTAGTGACGGCATATACACGGGCTTACATTTATTTAATTTTACCTATACAATAATTATTTGTCGTTTCGTTACAGGTGTTTCTGAGCGATTTGTACACAAACTCGTAAATGAAGAGAAACACGCTGAAGAATCCAATTCTAAAATTTCTACCCCTGGCAAAAAAAGGCAAAGAAAAACCGGGAAGCAAGAAGTTGATAATTTTGACATTGGTGTTATAAGAAGAAAAATTCACGAATTTTATTCAGTGAAAAAAGAAATCCCTACCATACCCAAATTACTGAGTATTTT